GTTATCGATAATTAATCTTGTGTTCCTGAGCATTTTGAGTATTGTATCTACCATTTTGAATTTATCAGAGTAGTAGTAGTATTAGTTGTATTTCAAGTTGTACTTGTCCTTAAATTCCCAAAAAAAAAAAATGTCTCTTACCATTTTGAATTGAAATTTAGCATAGCAGGTTTTGAAGCCTAATAAGCCCCCTCTTATTTTCCTGTCAAGTTAATGACCATTTGCTTTGTACCAAAAAAGCCATTTGCTGGGGTGTTTACGGGCTTGGAAATAAAATTCTATTTCTTCTTATCGATAAATTTAAACCTAGAAAAATTTTAGATGAATAAATAATTATTTGTTTATATATTATTTCCCATGCATTGCATGGAATTTAAGATAAGTTATGTTATTTTTTAGAAAAACATAATTTTATATTCCTGTATTTTGCTTGAGTTTTATTATAGATTTTTGTTCTTTTTATTTAGTGTTCTAGGGTGATGGATTTAGAATATCGAAATATAAAAGTATAGGGATATAAAATATTAAAAAAATATATTTTTTCTTTTTTTTAATAAGCTGTTTTCCCTATTTTTCGTTACAAAAGATAAGTTGTATTATTCATCACGTTATAAATGGTGTTTTGTTATAAGTTGTATATTTATATTGATATTGATGACTTTTTATAACCTGATTTTTTTAAACTTAAGTTCAAATAATTAATTCTTCTATGTGACTCATATGACATACTTCAAATTTAAAGTTTCGAAGATGAACTTTGAAATTAAAAGGAACTCTTTATTTTATTATGAGCAAAACGGAATGCATGCACAAAAATTTTTAAAGATCAAACAATATCAAGTGGGGAAAAAAAATTTAAAGATGAAAAACGGATCAGTTTGGTTCTTATGAGCTCAACTTTAATAGATTTAACACTTTATGACTTACCAATGCACATTGGCTCAAATGGCAAGGGGTTTAAGTTCTCTTATCCATTATCTCTTGAATTTGATCCCTAAGGCAATGAGAATAGAGAAAATATGTTTAGAAGAGCCACCTCCTTTTTCAGGCCCTACAATGCTCAAATTCAAATTAGTCGAGATTGTCGACTTTGAATACTAAGTGACCATACGAAAAAGAAAAAAACAACATATTAGGACTTGGATCCAAAAGCCATTTACTTCATATATAAGCTCTGCCCTAGCTATCAGAGGTAAGGCTAAACTCCAAAATTTATTTTGACAAAATTCAAATTAATTCCCAAATATTTAACAAAGTACAAAGTTCGAATTTAACATATAAAGTATAAAAAATGAAACACAATAAAAATGTTATAAAATATGATAAACTAATTGTCTAATAGAAAATACTTTCTTCTCAATTTTTGGTCACACAAGCAATCAAACATGTTATTAACCAATCCATGTCTATAATACGTAGGTTCCATCTTACAAAATAAAATATTTTATCATTAACTTTCCAATTTTCACATGCAAAAAATGCAGTCAAGTGTATGCTTATAATCATCTACAAATAAGATTTTTGAATGTTGAAAGAATAAATAAGTATATACAAACAAAACTTATATTCCCTCTAGGGGTGTTTAAAATCAATCCAAATCGAAAGGACCAACTCAAATCAAAAGAAATCGATCAAAACCGAACAACAATTAAGTTTGCTTCAGTTTTTATGATATGAGAACTGATTGGTTCAGTTCAAGTTTGGTTTTGAGTATTAGAAATCGAACCAAGCCAAGCCAAACCTGATTAAAAAATACTATTTATTTATTTATAAAATATATAATCATTTATCTACAAGAAGCATTTTGTTTTAAATCTTTTATAGTTATAGATAAACATTTTTAAAGAACTTGAATGGAAATGCATAATATTAAATAATTATAATAATCATGCTATGACCATCATTTAATTATTTACAACTTAAAAGCCTTAGTTTTCAATTTATCTACAAGAAGTATTTTGTTTTAAATTTTGTATAATAAGTTTTTTATTATTTATTAAAATATAGATACATAGATAAACATTTTCAAAGGACTTGAATGGAAATGTATGAGATCAAATAATTTTAATCTTAAAAACTTATATTAATTTTTATGATTAATTATTGTGATCACATTGAAATTTTATTACATTTTTGTACCTCTATTTATGAAAAAAAGGAGCCAAAAAGAATTTAATTTAATTTTAATACATAGCACCATTACGAAGATGAAAAAAAGAAAAAAAAAAATTAAATAAGTGTATTGAAGCTTGGTGTAGACCTTAATCAAACTGAACCAAATTAAAAATTAAACTAAATCAAACCAAGCTCTATAAAAACTAATCAAATTCTAGTTATGAGTAAATCAAATGGTTTGGTTCGGTTTGGTTTGGTGATTTTTGCCCAAAACCAAACCAACCGAGCCTATGACCATCCCTAATTTCCTTCGTTAAAAAATATAAGACATTTTTAGTCTTTTAAAATATAATTATTACCTCTTTTTTTCAAAAAATGCCTCTATTGAAAGTAACTTTATATTTATTATAAAATGTTTAATAAGGGTAAATATGAAAAAATAGAGTGAGTTTGAAAGTAGGTAACTACTTTATTTGAGAATGAGATTTGATTAAAAATACCTTACATTTTTTAACGGAGTAAGTAAATTATAATATCTAAAATTCACATTGCAATTCTTTAAAAAAAATTAATATTAAAAAATGAGCTGCTCAATCCATTCAAGACAAGCCCTAATACACTGAACCCATAAGAGCTCGACCCAAAAGCCTTTTGATCATTTTTGAATCAATTATTGAAGTCCAAGTCTTAACAAAATATGTGATAAATGAACCAATATATTATTAACTTTAGTTAAAATTTAGATATCTACTATAAATGTTACGAAATAATGATGGAATTAATGAACTGTGCTCAGACATGTTTAGAAAATGTTTAAACACATGACAGACACAGACAGAGGAGACCGTTCCATTGAAACAGATGTAACTACTTTTTCCTTGGCCTCCATTATAATCAACACACCTACTGGTGATGATGATTATCAGACATCAATGGAAAAGATGCCAAGTAGTGTTTTACAATTGAGACAAGACATAGAATTTGTCCCAGGCAAGTGTCAATAAGAGATAAAATTTCTCAAGGAACATTGTCTTGTCATGAATGTTGACGATAAGTGTGATTTTAATATTAGGGAAATTTATAATTGCACTGTATAAATTAGATAAATATTCAAAAGAGTATCTTCTTAAATTGGCCTTCTTTTGGATTGACAAATTAATGCTTGTTGGAGAAATAAATTTATCAAATACTCTTATTGAATAGGAGTTCTTAGACTAATAAATTTGAAGTCACATAAACAAAAGAGACTGTAGATGATGGGATTGACTTGTAGGGAGATCAATTAAAAAATAATTAGATCAGGAGTTAGGAAAAAAAATTCATTGCAATTAATTAATTCTAACATAGTCTCTACATTTAGTATTATAAGATATTGTTTTAAAAATATTATGTTAAATAATATAAGGCATTTTGAATATTTTAAGGTGTAATTAATAAAGTTTTTTCAGACCTAACCTTAGTTATGAGTGTAGCTAATAGGTTTTTTTATTGAAATAACCTATTAAATAAGAATGAATATATAAAAAGTATGTAATTTTAAAGACAATTAATTAACTCATTAGAGATATAATTTGATTAAAAAACTTTATAATATTAAGTTGGGGGAGTATGAGTTAATGAGATTAAGGGCAAGACATAAAGTTTTATGTTTTATTAGGTTCATTAACAATTATTTATTTATTTTTATTCTATTGCTCGGTATTCTTGATAGCTTAGGATTATTATTACCATATCCTGTTCGGATTAATCCAAATCCCTGCTATAAAAATGATAGGATAGAGTTCATTCATTGAAGCAATTTAAGTTTTTTTTTTTTTCAAAGAAATATGATGGAATTGGGTTTACACCAAATCACCAGCAACCTCTTTTGATGAAAACAAAAGAACCATTCTTTCATTTTTTTCCCCAAATATAGGGTCGTTTGTTAATCGTTAAAAATAGCCTTTGCTTGGACTCGCCTTGTAATGTGGAGCACCTTTTATTAAATTATATTTGAATGTCACTAAATATTAAGATTGCAATTCAACCAGTTAAGACAGTGGTTTAAAAAAATCGTGATTGAATGAGGTCAATCTGATTATAATTAAACTAATATAATTTAAAATGCAAATCTTACAAGCTATTCTCTCCATCTCTATATATAAGATATTTTTAAAAGAACCACATAAACCAATAAAAATTCGTTATCTAATTAAAAACACAACAACATTTCAAATTTACTCCTAATTATTGTAAATAAAAAATAATTTTTTTTCAAAAAAACTTAATGAAAGTATTTATATTTTTTTTCTTTCTAATTTAATAAGGGTATAATAATTCATTCATTAAAAAATATGTTAACAACCTCTTGTATTTAGGGACAAAAAAAATTCTAAAAGATTTCTTATATATAGAGATGAAGGGAGTATTTTCTCTGATCCTATTTATAAATTACTTTTAACATGTTTTATCATAATTAAGAAAAACCTTAAACGTTATTAACTTTATTTTAAAATTTAATAATTTTTTAACTTTACCCTTACTAAATATTCTTATATCTTAGTACTGCTATTGTTATGTAAAGGATTTAATAAGTGCAAAAATATAAAGAGGAGTGTTGGAAATTGTGTCCTATAAATGGGATCAAGTTTTTTTCTCTATCTACCCTATAATTAAAATTAGAGGAGTATTAATTTTATCTTTGTTTTTTAACTCAAAAGTCAAAATAATATCCCTTTAGGCTAGCAATTTTTAGAAAAATATATAAAATTTAATTCAATCAACTTATCCAAACTTCTTTGATCAGACCATTAATAGATTACTAACTTAGTTAATTGGTCAACTTGGGTTAGGTTTTATTAATAACATCAATTTACGTGAGCGCTAGAGGGAGCAATATGTAATGGTACCTTATTACAGGACCCGATCCATCGGCCTAAACTACCTACTAATCGGATTTTATGGTGGCTTCCACGTAGAATTATTCCCGCCTTTTTTTTTATACGCGCGTTAGTCTTCTGGAATCTCCACCTCTCGTCGCCGCCGTTGCACCGCCATCGTTGGGGTCGTTGTTGCTCACCTTTTGTCTCCGTATGCTTACTCTCACCTTGTCGCACTTCACATTTTTATTTCAGGCCAAAAAGAAAAAAGAAAAAAACTAAATGGTAAGCTTGTTTTACTCGCCGGCTTTGGGCGTTTAAAATCTATAGGATTTGGACTGACTTTTCGCACCTTGCTTTCTTCTTGACCTCTCGTAAATATTTACTCAAAACTCATTCCAGTTTCTGTATTTTATTTTCCCCAATCGATATTGGAGTTGGGACTTTTATATCTTAGCCATATGAACACAAGATGTTTGTTAAATTACCTCAATGGGCTTAATGTACTTCTTATCAAGTTACTTCTTTGTGTTCCTGTCGTATTATATTGAAGGTTCATGATTTTATTCTGCAGTCTGAGAACTTGTCTTGAAGCGGAAAGGAATGTCTTGTACCACCAACTTTGGGGCTTCTTTGAATCTTCACAGTGGAATTTCCAGGCCGTTTATGTTCAGACAAGCCTGTATTTTCCAAAAGTCTTCTGCTTTCTTTTTTGAGCCCTTCAAGTTGAGCTCCACCACTCAGAGTATTTTCCCAGCTACACGTCATTTTAGTGGCTCACAGACATTTCGTCGCTTTTTCAAATGTGCTGTTGCGGATTCGGAGCCATCAGCTTCTGTTGGTGATGGCACAAGCGATTCTCGTAAGCATTGCAGTGTATACTTTATTAACTTCATCTTTTCCTTTGTTATGATTTATGAGTCTAAGATTGACATAGTACATTTGTGTTGTATATACTTGTAAACTTCATTTCATTTCATTTTTTGCTCTTTTATTACTTTCGTTCATGCCATAGAAGAAAGGCTGGTTGTTCTTGTCATTGGTGGAGGGGGACGTGAACATGCTCTCTGCTATGCCTTGCAACGATCACCATCTGTTGATGCTGTACTTTGCGCTCCAGGCAATGCAGGAATTTCTAAGTCAGGAAACGCCACTTGCATTTCCGACCTTGACGTCTATGATGGAGCTGCAGTAATCTCATTTTGCCGTAAGCAGGGTGTGGGTCTAGTTGTAGTGGGACCTGAAGCTCCACTAGTTTCGGGCATTGCAAATGATTTAGTCAAGGCTGGAATCCCAACTTTTGGCCCATCTGCAGAAGCTGCTGCTTTGGAAGGTTCAAAGAATTTCATGAAGCATTTGTGTGACAAATATAGAATTCCAACTGCCAAGGTTCGTCTGCTCAATTCTAATTCTGAATCTCAGTAAGTACATCAATGATCAGTTCTCGTTCTATTGGGACGAGACTGCTTGTCTGTGCATACATCCCAGGTAGTACATATGTTCTCCCCTGGGAAATTCATAATGTACGAATTAGCAAGAGAATTGTTTAACTGTAGTGGGTGTTTGTTTTCCTGACATAAATATTCTATACAATTGTTTACCCATGTTTTTTCAGGATGTTGTTATTTAAAAATAGGATAATAATTTGACGATTTTTGTGTATGGTGACCAGTGAAGCCCTCATCTTTTACCATTGTTTTTTTTTTTTTAAAACTCAGTTCCATGTGTATGATGCTCCGTTCTAACTCAGTGCCTCTTTTTTCTTTCTTTTTTTTTAAAATGTCATCTTGCAGCCCTTACTTTGCTTATTCTAACGAATCATGAGCCTGTTAGTGCAGTACAAAACATTTACAGACCCACATGCTGCCAAGCTATATATTAAAGAACAAGGAGCACCGATTGTAATCAAAGCAGATGGATTGGCTGCAGGAAAAGGAGTTACTGTTGCCACGACGCTGGAACAGGCCTATGAAGCTGTTGATTCAATGTTGGTGAAGGGTGAGTTTGGTTCTGCTGGTTGTCGTGTCATTGTGGAGGAATTTCTAGAAGGAGAGGAGGTATCTTTCTTTGCATTGGTTGATGGAGAAAACGCAATTTCACTAGAATCTGCCCAAGACCATAAGCGGGTTGGTGATGGCGATACAGGGCCAAACACTGGTGGCATGGGCGCATACTCTCCAGCCCCTATTCTAACCAAGGAACTTCAGACTATAGTAATGGATTCTATTATCATCCCTACAGTAAAAGGAATGTCAGCTGAAGGCTGCAAGTTTGTTGGGGTTCTGTATGCTGGGCTTATGATTGAAAAGAAGTCTGGCTTGCCTAAACTAATTGAGTACAATGTGCGTTTCGGAGACCCAGAATGCCAGGTCAGTTATGTTAAGATGCTTGACTGTGGTAAGTGTGTTTTCTAGTTATAACTTTCTCTACCCCTTCAAGTGACCAACAGCATGGCTTAAGACATACTATATTAGTAATAAACAGGGCACTAGATATCCCATTTTTTCCCCCTAACCCCCAACTGATGGATTTAGAAATTAGAAGGATACGTTGATCTTTCCATTTTTTAATTCAAAGGGTTCTTTTTTTTTCTTTTTTCTTTTTAAATACATAAGGTTCTACAAGCTTTGGCCTTTGAGTCATGATTCTGTTGATACCTTGCTAATATATTGATTGTTATCCTCCTTGGATTGGCCAACTTTCAAATGGAGGTCATACTCTTTCAAAGCCTATATCTTTTACATTATGTTTAAAAAGGGGATATTGGGGGGGATGGAAAAGGATGAGAAGTTTTCTGTGAAACTATTTTCTTGTTTAGAAATTTTTGGCAAGGAGGGAAAATAAATAAAGATTTTGAAGTAATCCTACAAAATCTCAAAGCGCACACTTCTTTGTATTTTTACTTTCATCTAATTTGAAGAATTTTTTATGGGAAAGTTTCCACACAGTTTTCCTTTCCTTTTCTTTGGGATTATTCCTTTCTCCCCTTTTGCTAAATACACCCATACTCATGTATTCATTCACTAATATCCTGTTTTCCCGGTCACGAGTTCGCTGGTATTTACTGGGATCTAAGACTGGTTGATAACTCAGACAGAGGCACAACTGCAAAACTATTACATCTTTGTTCATTCAGTTGATTGTTTTGAAAGATTGATTAGAACAAGTCAATATTAACTAATATGTTTTCCTTAACCCTCTTTGCCAACTTAAATAGGTGTTGATGGTCCGTTTGGAGTCTGATCTGGCACAAGTTCTACTTGCAGCCTGCAGAGGAGAGTTAAATGGAGTGTCATTGAAGTGGTCTCCAGGATCTGCCATGGTTGTGGTAATGGCAAGTAAGGGATATCCTGGATCCTATGAGAAGGGAACATTAATTCAAAACCTTGAAGAAGCTGAGAATGCTGCTCCCAGCATCAAGATTTTCCATGCTGGAACTGCTTTTGATTCTGAGGGCAGATTTATCGCCACCGGAGGGCGTGTTCTTGGGGTCACTGCTAAGGGAAACAATCTTGAAGAGGCGCGAGACCGGGCTTATCGAGCCGTCGAGGAGATTTACTGGCCGGAGGGTTTCTACCGGCGAGATATAGGGTGGAGAGCCCTTCCAAAGAAATCATATGCTACCAAGGATAAGCTGCTTTGAAGAATCAGGCTCCTTTAGATGATCAGTTTTGTAATTTTCTTTTTGCAGCGAAACTTGGCCTAAAAGTTCTTGTAGGTATTTGCTGCTTCTCCAATAATATGATTATAATATGTGAAGTCCCATCGTGTAATATTGGATTATGAAAAATGTAACATTAACATGTGTTGTATATTTATTGGAGAACTTGATAGCAATTACCTTTTTTTTCCCCTTGAAAGAGGTAGCAAATACTCCATTTTTTTTATATTATAAAATATTTTTAAATAAAATTTAATATATTAATAAATTTTATTAAAACATTTAATAATTTTATCTTTTTAAAATAAAAATATAAATTTTAAAAAATATCTATCATTAAATATATTGTAAAGGGTAAGAAGGAAAATTAATTATAAAGAAAGAAGGATAATATTATAATTTATAAATTTAATAAAATATTAATCTATCTAAAGTTTTTTATATTTTAAAATAGAAAATTTTTTTAAAAATATTTTATAATTTAGGATGGAAAAGTATCTAATACCTATGATTTGTCTTTTATTTATTTATTTTATTGTGATAAATTTTTTTTTTTTTACCAACGATAAAATTAGTTATTTAGGTAAGAGTTGCATGAGAACAATTCACATTTTGGGCGTCAAATGCTTGGTACACAGAGAGTTTTTGGTGTATCATTTTACCAGAGAGAGCAACCTAAAAGTTAGTGTCACTTAAAAAATAATCCACATAATTATATGGTATTAGGCTAAATTATGGGAGTTAAAAACGTTTACAATATTATATCTTTTATATATAACTGAAGGCTAAATTTCATTAAATTGAATTTTAGATCTATACATACAACTCTTGACCTTTAAACTCTTTTTTTTTTTTTTTTGGGGTCTCCTATTGATCTCCAGAACTTAACGAAATTTCTTTCCTAAATTTTAAAATTAATTTAGATGATTTTATGTTGCCGGATAATTTATTATTTCATTAATTGGATAATTGAATGTGATACATTCTTCATCAATGATAATAAATCTCTTCAAAGCTCGGATTACATAAGTGCAAATAGCCTGATAGTGATAACATCAAATTCTGACGATCAAACAACAAACTAACTAATATTAATTAATTTCTGGCAAAAAAAATATTAATTAATGAGAAGATATTTATATGGACCAATTTAGAAATTTTGACACTACTGTCAAATTTTTAAAATTAAGAAAATGCATGTATGAATTGAATATGACCTAAGTGGATCTGTTTTCATTCATGAACAGTGTATCTTACTTGAATTTTCATATTTTATTACATATAAATTTAACATCTACAATTTGTACCATGAAAAGAAAATAACTTTACAAAACCTCATGTATGTAAGTAGAGAACTTCAGATTGTCCCTCAGAATGTTTTAGATATTGAGAATGAACCTCCTAGAAGAAACTAGACTAAGAGCCTCAAGAGGACAAAATTGATTGAAAATCCTGGCGGCCTGATAATGAAATGACTCCAAACTTTTCCTTTTTGTTTTTCTTTTTTTAAAATTCGAAAAACATGAGTTTGATAATGTTTTGACTTGATAAGTTCTTCTTCGTTTTTTAATTTCTCAAAATGAATATGTCGCCCGTTTCATTTGTTTTGAAGTATTAGTAGACATAATTTGAATTAAAAATAACGAGAGTAAAATGAAGTGATTTTAATGATATCATAGTGCTTAACTACTTGAATCAATAGTCATTACAACTTTTTTTATTACATGTCTTTTATAATTAAAAGTAATTTTATTCGAAATATAATTAAATACTAAATACAAATATAATGTAATAAATTAATGTTTAAATTTTTATTATGAGAGAAGTATTTATATTTAATAATCAACTGTTTCTCTAACATGATTGTTTCTAACAAGAAAACATATGTTAGTGATAAAAAAAAGTCATCACAATTATAATATTATAATTTAAATGGTTTAAATGAAAATTAAACTTCACTTATTTGAATTTAATACTCCTGTTATCTCAAATTATAAAATAATTTAGATTAAATTTAACGTTTCAAAATATAAAATATTTTGATAAAAATAAAGTTTTATTAATAATAGTTTTTAAATATTATTCTTTATATATATCTCTCACTTTGATATTCTTTCTTAAATTGAGTATTAAATAAAGAACATTTTAAAACTTTCATATTTTTATTTCAAAAAAGTAAAGTTGTAAAGTATATTTGATAAATTTTATTGATATGTATAATTTTATTTAAAATATCTTATAAATTAGGATGAAAGAAATATTTAATAAATATTAATATAAGACAAAGTTAGAGTAATTGATATTTTTTTCAATTTACCTCTTATCTACTTATTTATTTATTTTTAAATTTTTAAACAATAATTTATTATGATTATTAATTATAGAAAAGGATAGATTCAGAAAGTTACATTTTTTTTGACAACTTATACATACAAAGTATTTAAATTTATCTTGTATTAAATAATAAAATGAGTATAAGAAATTAAAAAAAAAACACCTCCATTTGGATCAAAAAAAAACTGAACCTAACTTGATATTACTATATAAACCAATATTATCAATACCAAACTCAAAATTCAATTCAAATAAATTTTCAACAATAAAAAATCAAATACTTAATAATTATTTAAAAATAAATTAAAAATAATTGAGAGAAAAAAATAGGAAAAATGACAAAAAAATTCATTTAAATTAAGTAAATGACAGATTGGTTTCATGAAATGGTATAATTCTCTTGAAGTGCCTTGAGATCTTCTTGTCAATAGAGAATAAAATGAAATGACCAAATTTTCCTCAAAGTTAACAAAAATCCCAACCCTCACTGAGAAACTTGCAAAATTTTCTAGTTCATCTCATGGGTTCTCAGGTTCTTCATTCACACCTTAATTCATGGTATTCTTTTGGTCCTTCTCCCTCTCCTTCTTGTGTTCCTTTTTTTTTTTTTTTACTTCTATACATGGATTATTTGTTTTGTTTGGCTGCTGTGTATGGGTATATATAAGCAAACATTTCTTGTTGCGTTTGCTGTACATGGGTAAACTTTCTCTCCTCCTATATGTGATAGTTAAAATTGATATGGGTTATTGTATGTAAATAATTGAGGTCTTTATTTTTTTCTCCATACTTGAAGTTAAAAAATGTGGGTCCTTATGTTTATTTAGAGGGTACTGATAAATTATAATTTCTTGTTGCATAGTTGTGAATTTAGAAACAAAACTTATTAATATTGGAACCAAAGTTGTGAATGAAGACTTGTAAATTTTAACTCTGATACATGTTTATAGGGTTGTATAAAAAACAGGACGGCACTGGACTTCACCCTAACCCGAAGTCTGGTCTCTTTCATGAAAAGAACTAAGTTAAGCAACCCGTAGTCCAATCTTGTCCAGTAATAACCCGAAGATTAACAGGACCGAACTTAGTCTATAAGACTAGAAGACTGGTCTTGTCAGTCCAGTACTCACTTAGCTTTTTTTCCTCTTTTTATTCTATAAGATGCAATAATCCATTCCAACATAATAGACTCAATTAAGATAGTAAAAACCACTTATAATAATAATAAATTCATAATAATTTCCAACAATAAGAAAAAAATATTTCTATCATAGTCCAAATGATTTAAATTTATAACTTTAACAAAAACAGTACTCAACAAAATTCAACAATACTATATTACAACAACAATTTAGAAACAGACTTAACAAATCTTCATACAATCATCTCCTTAGCATCAATTACACTTCAAACAGTTATCAAAAATAAATTAATTATAATAAAAAAATTAATAGGACTGGATTGGACAAAGTGGTCCGGATGCTGGTCTCCTGTCCAGTCCAACCCGAAGAAATAGTCTGGTCTTTTTAGTCTTTTTGGTCCTAAAGGACTAGCGACTATACAGATTGAACGACTAAGACCATCTCGGGTTGGATTGGACCAAATAAGACCGAAAGACTTTTGCACAGCCCTACATGTTTAGACTTGTACACCAGGACTTGCGAATGGCTAATAAATATTGTGAATTTAAAGACAAAAATTGTTAACCCAGGAACAAAAGTTGTGAATGGAGATTTGTGAATTTTCAAGTTTGATGCTTGTTTAAATTTGTACACCAAGACTTGTGAATGACTAATAAATTGTTGCGAATTTAGGAGACAAAAGTTATTAGCTTGAGAACTAACGTTGTGAATGGAGACTTGCGAATTTTCAACTGTGATACTTGTCTGAACTTGCACATTAGGATTTATAAATGGCTAATAAATTATTGTAAATTTAAGAAAAAAACTTATTAATATTGAAACTAAAGTTGTGAATGGAGATTTGTGAATTTTCAACTTTAATGTATGTTTGGGCAAAAGTGTCATTTTTTTTATCTTTTTAATGATAAAAAAATTTCAAGAGACTCTAAAAAAATTATATCATTTTATAAAATTAATATATCATTTATTTAATTTAAATGAATTTTTCTGTCATTTTTCAAAAAAAATATGTGAAAAATAAAAAATAAACACGATCATAGGGCAAACTGGAAAAAATAAAAAATGAGGACAATAATATGATCTGCCAACATGAACGGAAATCTAAGGTGCGGGAACGAAGAGAAAATTCTGCCCGCAAAATCCAACGGGTAAGCGAGAGATGATTCTAGACTCCGTCCCCACTCGGTCTTCCTACATAACCCTCATCCTCTCTTCCAAAACCCTCTCCAATTTTCTTCTACATTCCGTCTCTGCAACTTCAATCCTCAACCTCAATTGATCCTCTTAGCTTCATTCTTTCACCTGTCTCTATCTGAATTCTCTCTAATCCAAATATGGCCTCATCAAGTGCTCAAATTCACGGTTTTGGAACCTCCCCATCATTTGCTTCTTCATTGAAGAAGCCTACTTGCTCTCATTCCAGAACTCTCTTTCTGGGTCAGAAGCTCAGCGATTCATCTTCTCTTCTTGGGTTCCCTCGCTCGGCATTTCTCAAGCTAAAGAGCAATACCATCACCAGGAGGAGGTATAGTGTGGGACCGGTGAGGGTTGTCAATGAGAAAGTCGTGGGTATTGACTTGGGGACCACGAATTCCGCCGTCGCCGCCATGGAAGGCGGGAAGCCCACCATCATAACCAACGCCGAGGGTCAGAGGACGACGCCCTCCGTCGTGGCTTATACAAAGACCGGTGATAGGCTTGTTGGGCAGATTGCGAAGCGTCAGGCCGTCGTGAACCCAGAGAATACCTTCTTTTCGGTGAAGAGATTCATTGGCAGAAAGATGTCTGAGGTGGACGAAGAATCGAAGCAGGTTTCGTACAGAGTGGTGAGGGATGAAAATGGGAATGTGAAACTTGAGTGCCCTGCCATAGGAAAGCAGTTCGCAGCTGAAGAAATTTCAGCTCAGGTGCTTTAAATGATTGATTTCGCTGTTCCAAGTGCATTTTAGTAGCTTTGGAGAATTTATAGACTCGATTTAACGAGTTAGGCTAATAATAGTTCAATAATTGGGTTGATTTATGCTAATCTCTTATAAATCTCTATTCAGGTGTTGAGGAAGCTTGTGGATGATGCTTCAAAGTTTTTGAATGATAAAGTGACAAAGGCTGTAGTTACAGTTCCCGCATACTTCAATGATTCTCAAAGGACTGCCACGAAGGATGCTGGTCGAATTGCTGGTTTAGAAGTTCTTCGTATTATTAATGAACCAACTGCTGCTTCGTTGGCGTATGGCTTTGAGAAGAAGAACAATGAAACTATTTTGGTATTTGACCTTGGAGGTGGTACTTTTGATGTATCAGGTATTAAAAGCTTTTCCACTTAATCCTTAACTCAAAGTTGTACTGGCTAGGTATATTATTGTGCATTGTCTATATCAGCATTTATAGCTTTATCAATACTTTGAGGCATGTAGGCGGATTGATTGATTTGTATTTACCGTCATATCAGTACTTGAGGTCGGCGATGGAGTGTTTGAAGTGCTTTCAACCTCTGGGGATACACATTTGGGTGGTGATGACTTTGACAAGGTTGCAGCTCTTTCTAACTTCTCAATGTTATAATGTGGGTAATGCTTTAGTTAAGATCTCTTAGCTAAACTATCTCATATCATCTTCTCTTGTTGTAGAGAGTTGTTGATTGGTTGGCTACCAATTTCAAGAGAGATGAAGGTATAGACCTTTTGAAAGACAAACAAGCTCTTCAACGACTCACTGAGACAGCTGAGAAAGCAAAAATGGAACTTTCATCCTTGACTCAAACCAACATCAGGTGAATATGACTTTATAAACATGCATCGAAGATTTTCTAAACTTTATTAATACACTAGCTGTTTGTATTGGTGCATTGGACACCCAATTGGAATTGTCTGTGCAGTGTTCTATGTGAACCACTCAACTTTAGTGCATGTATTTTATAACTTTCTCTGGTCTCGTTACTTTGAACCTGGGAAGCTAATTGATATGAATGAAGTGTATATCCATACATTTGTGCTTCATTTTTTTAGCATTTTACGCCCTAGTCAAATTTGCTTGTTGAGTTTTATGTAAACCACTGAACTTCAAATGTGTATATTTTCAGTTTGCCATTTATAACTGCTACACAGGATGGCCCCAAGCATATCGAAACAACCCTTACAAGGGTTAAGTTTGAGGAACTGTGTTCAGACCTTCTTGACAGGTAATACCTGAATCTATTGTTCTCTATCAATATTCATTTTATTTGTTATAAAGAAGCCACACTATTTTTAACGTGTAGGGCCTACATCTAGTCTAGTTATTATAAAATTACATGCTGATGTTATTTGCTGTCTCCTTTTTGGCTCTTTAGAAAGCTATTGGAACCATTCGTGTGTAATAACTTTTTGAATTGTGTTTCAGGCTCAAGACACCAGTTGAAAACGCATTGAGGGATGCAAAACTCTCCTTTAACGATATTGATGAGGTGATTCTTGTTGGTGGGTCAACACGAATTCCGGCTGTTCAGGAACTTGTAAAGAAGTTGACTGGAAAGGACCCAAATGTCACTGTCAATCCAGATGAAGTAGTTGCTCTTGGAGCTGCAGTGCAGGTGGGCATTTAAGTAGCTTTCCTTCAAAAATAGTTCCCCAGCAAATTTGGTTCATCCTTAACTAGATGACAAAATTGTTTGTTTTTTAGATAGTTTGTCATGTTATTGATCCATAGTAATATTAAATCTTGGTTGATTATAGGCTGGAGTTTTGGCTGGAGATGTTAGTGATATCGTGTTGTTGGATGTAACTCCATTGTCTCTGGGCCTGGAAACTCTTGGCGGTGTGATGACAAAAATCATTCCCCGAAACACAACGCTACCAACCTCGAAGTCAGAAGTCTTCTCAACAGCTGCTGATGGACAAACTAGTGTAGAGATCAATGTCCTTCAGGGTGAGAGAGAATTTGTTAGGGACAATAAATCCCTTGGTAGCTTCCGGTTGGATGGAATCCCTCCTGCACCTCGTGGGGTTCCTCAAATTGAGGTGAAATTCGACATTGATGCCAACGGTATTCTCTCAGTCACTGCTGTAGACAAGGGCACAGGGAAGAAGCAAGATATTACTATTACTGGTGCTAGCACTTTGCCCAATGATGAGGTACATGCTACTTCTATCCTATATTCATTATGTGTCTATTTTGATTGGAAGTTGCATTTTAATGGTGTTCTGATCAAGCAACTTCTGATCAATCGGTCTTCAAGTACTGAACTTGATTAATACGGTCACTGAAATGCAGGTGGATAGGATGGTGAAGGAGGCAGAGAGGTTCGCGAAGGAGGACAAAGAGAAGAGAGATGCCATCGACACGAAGAACCAGGCAGATTCTGTGGTATACCAGACAGAGAAGCAGTTGAAAGAACTGGGAGACAAGGTTCCTGGCCCTGTGAAAGAGAAGGTTGAAGTTAAACTAGGAGAGCTTAAAGGTGCAATTTCTGGTGGTTCTACACAAGCCATCAAGGATGCCATGGCTGCCCTCAATCAGGAGGTCATGCAACTTGGTCAGTCCCTATACAGCCAGCCTGGATCCGCGGGGGCTGGTCCAGGTCCGACACCACCTGGTGGTGAGTCTGGCCCTTCTGAATCCTCCGGCAAGGGACCTGATGGTGATGTGATCGATGCCGATTTTACTGACTCAAATGAGTAAGCATAGGCTAACTGAGTTTTTTCCCTCAGTTTTGGGGGGGAGCCAGTAGTTAAGTTTTGCCAATGGAGTGAAAGAATGTTCTCATAACTCTCAATGAGATTAGAAGGACTTCATAGATGCTCAAGATGAAGGTATGATATGTAGGCTGAAAATGTAGTTATAGATTTCTTGGTTTTTTTTTTTTTACTAGTATATATTATTATCACAATAATACCAAACGATTATTGAGTGGTGATTCTAGAATATTCCAGCTATAACTCATCCTCAATTTTTTTTCCAGTAGCAATAATCAAGTGCTCTTCGTTAGGAAAACATATTAGTATATTTTTAGTTGTTTGAAGACTCTTCATAATTATCAAGTGATTTACTGTTCATTATTCGGAATAAGAATAATTATATTCACGTGCTTGAAGATTGAATTTTTACCATGGCCTCGAATGCTGATATGTAACTATTATATCCATTTTGGAAATTATACATTTATACCCAACATTGACTTCTGCTAGGTTCCAGCTTTCCTGATTTTTTTTTTCTTGGGGAAATATATTTTTGTTCCTTTAGTTTTGACTTGAATGGAATTCATTGTCCAAACTTTGACTCATTGCAATTTAAATTTATAGTTTCTAAACAAAGAGTCAAATTATTAATTTTTCTCGTTATTCTTCTGATGTAATTTCACGACTCAGCTTGCGGTTACCGAATTTCACACAACAATCCATTCTTTTTTGTTTTATTGTTCTTAGTTCTAGCCTCTGCGTATTGATATTTTCCTGCTTCTATGTGATATATAAAATTACAAATATTAAAAAACTTCCGTGTTCTAATTTTAATGAAATTCAATAAAATATTCCCATCACTTTTGGCATAGGACGCAGGAACATTCGGACGTTACATTGTTAGTGAAGTGTTTACTAAACTTGGTTAAATATTTAAATATCAAGTCAAAGTATTGTAATCTTAATATGGCCGAAAACGAAAATATAATCTTAATTTCATATACAATCTACAAAAACAGCCAAATTAGGAGCATATTGATACGATTACAAATGTACATCAAATAATATGAACGTATATACAAATAAAATGGCTGTCTCCGCATATATCCACATGGCAGAGAAATTCCATCTATCATTGGTATAAAATTTCATCCCTTGCCACTTGGATCCGTTATTTTTCAACAAAAATGTGTACGAACTTTAATGTCAAACTTACAATCAAGTACATAGCATTGCAGGATGGATTGAGAGGGCAGAGGCTCAACATGTTGCCCCTTCCTAATAGAAACGTGCATTTATGATTATCTATGACTTATAGGAAGACTATTAGCTCTTTCAAGAGCACAATGATTATGGCATCCAACTCTAGAGCAGCCCTTATTCCTTCTATTGTGATTGCTTGTAGTGTGGTGAGGACTGCCATCATTCCATTGAATGAGGTGAGAACAGCTTTCCCAACCCAAAACCAGCTTCTGGAACTTAAGGATGGTCTAATTCACGTATAGTTGCTGTGTGGATGATGGTGCTGGTGAGGTTTATGGCTGTAATGTTGATGATCATAACCACGCAGTTGAAAACAAGAACCACCATTGCCACTACTTTTACCATATGGTTGGGTTGTGATTGGTGGGTTTGCCTATCTCTCTAGGCATCATGACTATCAAATTACTGCAAGAATCACAAAAGGAATTTGATTCGTGATCCATGGTTTCAATGATATGACTGACCTTCTAGGAAGTAGGATTTTGGGTATGAGCAAGCATAAGGAGAGATAAATTACTTGAGAAGATTGAGCCTCGTCATTGAGCTTGTTTGAATGATGCTGTGTGATCTCCGTTTGGTTCTTTAATAAGGGTGATTGAGAAGGAAACAGGAAAGCTCGAAACAACAAAGCTCCTCCAATTTTATAATAGTCATACTCATTGAACATGTGCTTAAGATCTTCATTTGATCTAACTGAGAAAGGATTTGTAGAATAGATGAATATTATATGTGGTGTAACCTGCCAGGAATATTACAACAATATATATAAGGCAACACGTAACCCTAGAATATAGAAAGAGAGCCACGTATGTACATGAAAGAATAATAAAATACAATAAGACAAAAAGAAGCTTGATCTGGACAGATAAAGCATTATAAAGTTGTTTGGGCCCTTTTACTACTATTGGACTTATATTTAGTGGGTTTAATCTTCTTTTGAACTTTAGTCTTAACATTCCTGCCCAAACTTGAGTGTGGTGACTTCACGAGACCAAGTTTGGTTCTGAAAGTCCAAAACTTTGAATGAGTCAAAGCTTTAGTAAAAAGGTCTGCTATTTGATTAGATGATGCGACATAGCAGACTGACAACTGTTTCTCAAGTACTTGGTCACAGATGTAATGCACGTCCAATTCAATATGTTTTAAACAAGCGTGGAAGACTAGATTTGAGGCTAAAGCTGATGTACTTAGGTTATCACACAAGGCAATAGATGGTTGCTTTAGACGAAGACCAATCTCACCGGCAAACAAATGAACCTATGCAAGCTCAAATGCAAGATCAAAAAGTGCTCTATATTCTGACTCAGCGCTGGATCTTGCAACAACCTTTTGTTTCTTCATTGACCAAGAGACCAGTGAGTCATCGAGAAACACATAATAGCCACCGATAGAATGTCGATCATCTAAACATACAGCCCAATCAACATCGGAAAAACCTTGTAAGGTAAGATGATTACTAGGTTTAATATGTAATGATAGATCTAATGTTCCCCTGAGATATCGAAATACCCTCTTTAAGGCTTGCCAATGAACAGCTGTCGGAGCACTAAGGAACTAACTTAATTTGTTGACAGTAAAAATAATATCAGGTCTTGTTGTCACAAGATACTAAAGCAACCCAATTGCTTGCCTATATACTTTAGAATTTTTTAGAAGATTACCATCATCCTTAGATAAATATCTATTCACAACCATGGGAGTTAGGACATCAGTACAGTAAGTCATACTAAATTGACTAAGTAAGGTTTCAATATATCTCGCTTGCTTGAGATATAATCCAGTATTATCCTTGTAGGCCTCAATTCCTAAAAAATAATTAAGTTGCCCAAGATCCTTTAGAGCAAATAAGGAATTCAATTTTTCAACAAAGAGCTCAAGAAGAGTAGATGAATTGCTAGTAACAATGATATCATCAACATATATAAGAACAAACATCACCTTAGAATTTTCTTTCTAGAAAAACAGAAGGAATCACATCGTGAGTGTATGAACTTTCAGTCCAAGAGAGTTAACCTCAATCTATCAAACCAAGCTCTAAGAGCTTGTTTGAGACCATAAATAGCCTTTTGTAGAGAACAAACATGGTTAGGATATCTAGGATTTACGAATCCTTCAAGTTGCTTCATTAACACGTCTTCTTTTAAAATTCCATTTAGGAATGCATTATTAATATCCATCTGTCTAATTGGCCAGTCAAATGTAATAGCAACAGTAAGAACAAACTTTAGAGTGGTAGTCTTAAGAACAGGGTTGAATGTCTCATCAAAATCAATTCCTGGAAGTTGTTGGAATCCCTTAGCAATAAGTCTTGCTCTATGCTTTGAGGTTGAGTCATCAGGATTCAATTTGTGTTTAAACACCCATCTACAATCAACAACAATTTTATTCTTAAAATAAGGGACCAATTTCTAGATTTGGTTTTTCATAAGAGCATTAAACTCTTCTTCCATAACCTTTTTCCAAACATTAGACTTTAAAGCTTCGTTGACACTAGAAGATTCTAGTGTTGGATTATTTTCTGTGATTACCATACCAACATAGGGTAGGTTTGGCTTATAAATTTTAGCTTTACTCCTTGTCACCATTTGATGTTGATTGCCATGTCCAGTAACCTATTCAGGTTCAGTAGATTTGGGTTCTTGCATCTAAATAGTGTTAGATGAATTTAAAATTTTTGCAATTGTTAGTTCCTCTATATGTTCAAGATTGTGGTGCTCATCATGTTGTACCGTCACATTTGTAGGAATATTAGATTGGGGTGTAACAAGAACAAATGAAATTGGTTGAGATTGTGACTGAGATGCACTAGAGATAGGGACATCAAATTCTTTAGCTGGACAAGTGTTGGAAGCAAAAATATTGAGGGATTTAAAAAAACTCCTAAAGATGTACTTCTTCAATAAGTGAGTTCTTCTTGTTGATAAATCCAGTCTCAAAAGGAAAATCTTTCTCATTAAAACAACATGCCTTGAAATGTACACTTTTTCAGTAGAACTAAGACATTTGTAGCCCTTGTGAGAATTGCTATATCGCAAAAAAAACACATTTTGTAGTTTTAAATTGTAATTTATGCTGATTATAAGGTCTTAGACATGGATAACATGCAGATCCAAAAACCTTAAATTGTTCATAATCAGGATATTTACAGAAAAGCCTAGTATAAGGTGACGTCCAGCTTAAAACCAAAGTAGGTAATCTGTTAATTAGCTCAGTTGCTATATGAAAAGCCTCCCTCCAATAAAACAAAGGCATCTTGGCTTGAGCTAAAAGAGTAAGTCCCATTTCAACTATATGTCTATGCTTCCTTTCTGCCCTTCCATTTTGAGGTAAGTATGAGGACATGAGTATCTAAAATGAATTCCAGCTTCGTGCAACAGCTTTGAGAAACTATAATATTCACCATCCTAATCGCTTTGTACTATTTTGATCTATTCGTCAAACTATTTTTCAACAAATTTTTTGTAATTGAGTAAATATAGGCAAAGCTTCATCCTTGGTTTTCAAAGGATAAATCCAAGAATAGCAACTAAAATCATCAATAAACAACTTCATTCAAAGAAGGCAAGGGTGAGGGACCCTATAGATTAGTATGAATTAATTTAAGAGGTTTGGTGGCATGAGAAGTAGACAACTTAAAAGGAAGAGAATGAGATTTCCTAAATTTGCAAGATTCACAAAAAACAACCTCTTTTGAAATAGACTTCAAATTACAATAATTGATAATCTTGTTTAGCACTCTATCACTAGGATGTCCAAGTTTACAATGCCATAAAATTCTACTACTAGTAATACTAGACTTAAATACTAAATTAATAGCTTCTTCTTCAGCACTAAATACTTGTTCTACATCACCATTCTTGTTTTGAGTATCATCAACTTGAAACATGCCACTAACTAGAAGTCCTTGCAACATTACTGCCCTTGTTGCTTAATCCTTCACAGAGAAACCCTTAGAGTTAAAAATCATATCAGCATCATTGTCTAAAGCCATTTTATAAACACTTAACAAATTTTTCTTAATTCCGAGTGAATAAAGAATGTTGTTAGGTCTAATCTTCTTGTTAGGGACATTTTGAATACTATTTGATCCAACCTTTTCAATAGTAAGTTTATCACCATTACTAATAATTAGATTAACATTGCCATTAGGTTCAACAATATTTTCA